GGCAAATTTAAGCAATGTCATTGACAAAAATGCATCTCTCTTCTCGGGTGGGCCCCTCTCCTCATTGCTTGATATACCACTGCTGGTTAGTTACCTGAAGAGCTCGCTGGAGCTGGAGTCTGGTTTAGGTGCTAGCCCTGCCATTAGGGCCTGCTACCTGGCCCAACTGACAAGTCACTTCACCTCCCTGGACCTCAGTTTTCTGATCTGTAAAATGGAACTACCTGTAAATATAAATAGGATAAATATAAAATTAACTTATCAAAGAAAAACTAGGTCTAAGTGTTGTCATGTCCACATTGCTATACAAAATCCAAAGGGTGTGAGATTTGAGTCACGCCTGGGTTTTTCCCCTTTGGTAGTAAAGAGATTGAGGGCAACTGAACCAGGCTCTTCCGTGAAGCTTTGGAGCTGGTGGTATTGGAGACGCCAATGCCATTTTGGTGCTGAGGAACTGTTTTAAGTTTACTCCTTATCATCTAGTTCCAGGGAAGACAGCAGGAGACCCTCGTGGGGTACCATCCCAGCCCCTGCTGAGTTCTGGAATGAGGCCCATCTGTCTCATTTCTACGCAGCCTGCTCTGTCCAGGGCGCTGAGTGAGTGAGGAGCTGAGCTCTCCCCCTGGGAAGAGGGTTGTGTTCCTCACATAATTGCAGAACAGCGTGCTGGCAGAAGCAGAGCAGGCAGTTTCTGTGACTTGCGGATTTACTGCCTGCCTACGTGACTTCTGCAAGCCCAAGCCAGCCTCAGGCGCAGGGTTCCACCCGCCCACGCCTCCTGCCTTTGTACAGTGCTGGATGGTGAAGTCCTTTCTCAGGCATCATCTCGTGATTTCCCCACCAGCCCTGTGAGGTGCGCAGGCCAGGTTTTCTCATCCCCATCTGACAAGGAAAGGGACTGAGGCCCTGGGAATTGAATAGACTGCCCAGGGCCATGGCCAGTTGGGGCTTTGACTAGAACTTAGAAGTCTCTGGACACCAGCTCAGAGCTAGGAATTTGGAGAGTGAAGGGAAAGCCCTCGTTTTTGTTCAGAGTTGTCTCAGGCTCTTTCTAAGAGGAAACTTTTTGAGGTTCCTTGTCCTAGCCCATGAAGCTTTGACGGCAGGTCAGGACCAGGAATCAGGCCTCCTAATTACCAATCCTTTGCTGCATTTGACTGTGGGTTAAGTACTGACTGTTACAGTAGGAGGGGGAAACGTGTGTGTTTTGCATACGTGTTTCACTGTTTAAGCATTCTCATAACTTTTGAATTAGTGTTGGCAACGATCTTCATTAATGATTGGATGCGGCCCTGGGTGGCTCTGTCCCAACGTTAGAGGGACCCTCACTGTCACCCCTGGCCCTGTAGCCTAGCTGGGCGACCTCTGCACCGTGGGGCCTGCACTTCCGGCTTTGGAGCCTTTCTGATGCGCAGACAAGGGCCCACCACTGTCGCTGGTTTCACCTGCCCATGCGTCTGCCGGCCTTTGTGTGTCTGCTCTGGGTACAGTGACCAGGGCGTGCCTGAATGCAGACTTCCATGCCTGCTCTTCCTCAAGGCCCAGGGTAACTTTCTTTCTCAATTTCCAAATAAATGTTGGGGCAGTTAGATTGAGAACCTCTCAAAGCGAAAACTATGCTGGTGGGAAAGACAACACTCCCCTCTCACTTCCCTTTCTCCTTCCCTCCCTGTCAGATCAAAGAATGCATGGAGAGGGTAAGGAAAAGGATGAGGAATAAAATGAGTAACAGCTGCGTGGTGTCTTCTTCTGTAAAGCGGAGATAACCAGAGAACTGCTGTAAGTCGGTGTTTCTTGGCCCTGGCTGCCCATCAGAGTCACAAGGGAGCTTTTAAGCACTGTTGTGTCCTCCCTCAATGTCATTTAAAGTCAGACTCACTTAATTTTACACCATGTACAGAAACCAATTTTTACCATAGGCTAATTGCTATAATAAGAGTTAAATTTCAACAGCATCTCATCATTTGTTACAATCAAATGACATTATGCAAGGACCTGCTGTATCTCTAGTCCCAGGCTGCGGCCCAGACCAGGAGAGCAGTTATCTCTGGAGATGCCACCCAGGCACCAGTAGTTCTAAATTCCCCGTGTGATTCCAAGGTGCAGCCAGAGTTGAGAACCACTGCTCGAAGGATGGAGAGAATTGTCTAATTGCTCAGAACAGAGAGGTCCCTCCAGCTGGCCGTGGGCTGGAATCATCAGGAGGGCTTTTAAAATCACACTGATTCCCTGGCCACACGTTGCAGGCCATTTAAATTAGTGGCTTCTGTGACTAATGCCTCTTACTCAGCCTTCACGTGAGCCACAAACCAGTTGTCATAATAGCGACCACTTCTTAGTGCCGGCTATGGGCCAGCATTACAGATATTTCCAGTCTTCACAATTCCCATTTTGCAGATGAGGAAACTGATACTCCAAGCAGGTAGCCTCTTGCCCTGGGTGACAGTGCCAGCTCTGACCCAGACCTTGAAGCCGGGGCTTGGCCCTAGTGGGGCATGTTCTCTACTCTTCCCAGTAACAGCCCAAGGAGAGAGGAAAACCAGCACGTGGCCTTGGCTCTCCTGAGGCTCCCGGGGAGGCTGAGTGGAGGACCCCACCTCGCGGAGAGAGGGGAGATGAGTGCTGTTGCCTGGCGTTGGAGTCCCAGTCGGTCACCCCCTCTCAAAATACCTCCTTTGGCTGGAAGAAGATGCCTGCAAGTTAGGCCTGACCCCAGGCCCCTCTTACTGCCACAGCTGCTCTCATGAAGAGAGAACTCCACCAGGAAAAGCAAACACTTGCTTTCTGAGAGTCAGAGGAATTTTTTTAGGCACGTGATATTAAAAAATGCCTTTGTTTCCCTCCTAAGAATAGGGGAAGCTACGTCAAGGTCACCTGGAATATTTATTTCTGCTTTATAAAAACCCTGTGCCTCCACCTCTGTACTTTGTAAGCTTCTACGAATTGCTTAAAATCCTTAAGCTTTGGTTTCTCATCAGTCTACTGGAAAGGGGGAGCTTGTCTGCCTTCAGGACTGCTGACGCCGGGCTCTGGAGGCATCAGAGAGGGAGGAGAGGAGCTCCGCCGTCCTGACGCTGAGACTCACAGCCGCCCGGACTAGAAGCTTCGTCAAGTGTTTGCTGGCACTCATTGAAGGACCTGATGTCCCCGAGGCCCAAAGTGGTTCCAAGCCGCCAGCTGTGTTAGGGATCTTGCCGAATGTATTCACGCTGGCTTCTGGAGGACTGGCTTCACTCCACCTGCGTCAGCCGGGTGTGTGGACAGACTGGAGCCAATGCCGGCGCATAAATAGCTGAAACTTTAACATTAGTGGACAATGTAATGTAAATTTGGCTCTGCCAAGCCTTCTCTGCCCAGCCCTGGCTCCAGGGCCCTCTCCCTCCCCAGAGCTCCCTCTGTACCTGTTGTCTGGGCCTTTGGTCCCTGCCCTCGATTGTCCAACACAGAGCCTGGCACAGAGCAGAAGCTCAGCCAGCACTGAGTGGAGGGTGTGTGTCTGGTGGCATCTCTAAGGTGGTTGCCATAGCAGGTTGGCATGTTTAGTCCTTGCTTTCTTTATTGGAATTTTATTTATTTATTTATTTATTTATTGGGTCACTTGGATTTATTTTGAAGCTTGCCTCACTGAGTATTATTTAGTAATGGAATAGTTTAGATGCAGTGCTATTTTCTGAGGTTGAGGCACGTCTCCCGAACATTTCATTGTTTAGCTCTTCCCCAGAGCCACTAAGAGAGTACATCCTACGTGTGGAGTTTGGTGGGCCCTTTTTAAGCCACTAAGCTTAACCTAAGACTTTCTGAGTTCTGTCTCAAGCCGTGGGCATTGTGGGCAGCAAGAATACAGGGGGCAATGGTGGAAAATGGTGCAAGGGGAGTGAGAGGACCCCCAGGAGGGGTGGCCACGGGGCAGTCTCCAGGGACTTAGAACTGACCCCACCGGTTGCCTGGACTGAGATGGTGAAGCAGAGGCTGCCACCCCTCCCAGGGGACGGTGCGAGCACTCAGGGATGCTGGCTCAGAGCCGCCTGCCGCCCTGGCTTGGATGCCACGTTACAGTTACTACCTTGATCCACAGACTGAAGGATTTCCAGGTTCAGCCCTGACCCCTGCATCATAGAGGCTTTGTGGATGGTGGGCTATGTGCCCATCTCTGGGGCCTGGCTTTGCCATTAACTCTGGGATGACCTCAGGAGAGTGACTTGACTTCTGCGCCTCAGTTTCCAAACATTTTACAACTCTACGGTCCCACCAGCACTCTCACCGTGATGAACTCCCACCATAGTTATTGACAGCGCTGGGCTGCCTCCGCCCCCACCAGGACCCCCCCATCAACCCAGCCTGCATAGCCTCTGGACCTACCTTTACCTTAAGTGCGTCATCTGCATTATTTGTTCAGTCCCCCTACTGTCAAGCTGCTTGGTTTATGCCAGGTACCTGAGATTTTATTTGTTGGGAAGGGATTGGATGCAAAGGGGCAAAAATGAGCGTATGAAGCTGTTTGTCACCTCGCAATTCCAAATGGATGAGTCTGTACTTGTATCCAGATATGGGAGTATCAACGGGATGATTGTTACAGTTAGTATTTTGACCATGCTGGTCTTTTTTTTTTTGTTTTTCCCTTTTAATCTTTTCATTACATAGTATAAGCCTCTGGACATTGTGATTTCGTTTGGTGAATCGGTTCTAGCTGAGGCTTTGGAATGACAAGGCTGTGTCATTTTGATGAAATCAGTAAGCTTTCAGGGCCTCAGTGTTCACGTCTGCACACTGGAAATGATAGCACTAACATTCCTTCAGGATTCTCATGAACAGAAGGGAAGCTCAGGACCTGCCCCATCTCAGCCACCGTTTGATGGCCAGGTGGGGATGCTGGCCGGCGGCGGGGTTTGTCCTGCTCTGGCAGAGTGACTCTGAATGAGTGTTGCCTGGGGGCTGACAGTCGGGTCACTTCTCTGATGGCCACAGTGATACCCTAATTGTGTGAGTCTGTGTCCCCACAGCGGCCAGTTTGCCATTGTGAAGAAGTGCCAGGAGAAGAGCACCGGGCTGGAGTACGCAGCCAAATTCATCAAGAAGCGGCAGAGCCGGGCCAGCCGGCGGGGTGTGTGCAGGGAGGAGATCGAGCGGGAGGTGAGCATCCTGCGGCAGCTGCTGCATCCCAACATCATCACGCTGCACGACGTCTTCGAGAACCGCACCGACGTGGTGCTCATCCTGGAGCTGTGAGTGGGCTGTTGGGGCCCATGGTGGGCAGCAGGGGCAGGCGGGGCGGCGGAAGCTCCAGCCTCAGATCCCGGAGGGGACCAGCAGCCAGACCTAAGCTCGGCCCAGAAGCGGTGAAGTCAGCGGTGGGTGGTTTCCCTCAGTTACTCCTTCAAAACCTGGGCCAAAGCAGGGACCAAGCAGCAGGGACAGAGGGCAATGGTTTAGGTCTGGTTTTCATTGGGGCCTGAGGATCAAAGGGAAGGCATGGCTGATGCTCGGGCCATTTCCCAGCTGGTAAGCAGGTGGGAGATGGAGGGAGGAAGGGAGAGAGCGGAGTAGGGGAGACTGTCCGGCAGGGGTCCATTCTATGCTCAAGGGAAGAACAAACATCCTTTAGGCTTTGCAAAGCCCTTCTCCTGCCCTTTCCTGGAATTTGTGCTGTCACACCTTTATACTTATAATAACTATTATTTAGAGAGCATTTGCCACATGTTTTATGCGTGCCATCTGTTCAGTTCTCATAGGGACTGTGATGAGGGAAGTGTTCTACTAACACAGAGAGTTTCCTTTGCATTCACTGTGCCAAGCACAGCTCTTACCTCATTTATTCCTCATAATAATCTTGTCACACGGAGACTCTTCTTAGCCCCATTTTACCAACAAGAACACTGAGAGACCAGGTCACTTATCATATCTGTTAGCCAGAAAGTGGTGTTACGGGACCAAACTCAGCCCAAACTCTCAACAGTTGCCAGCCAAGAGACAACTCTGAAATGATTTTATGAAAAGGAACATTATTGTGAGCTTATAAGCAAGGAACACACTGGGGGTTGCTCCCAGAATAGTGTATTCCTCGAGCAAAGCATCTGATCCATCTTTATTGGGGGAAATCATGTATAAACATCAAGGTGAGCTTTGTTATTGCATGTATAGGTGGGGACATTCCGGGCATAAGCAGTTAGAAAACATGGCTATACATACATCGCATATTCAAAAATGGTGGAAAATCTCCACCTCTGGTTAGAGATGTAGTATTATAATGAGAAAAGTTCATGAGAAGGTCACTAGAGGGTCTTTCCAGCTGTGTCAGCTGGTCTCAGGCGGTTTCAGCTGGTTCACCTCCTGGTCCTGCGAAACATCCTGGGCTTGTTCCTGAGAAACCGTCCTGGAAATCGTCAATGTCGGAGAGTGCAGTTGTTATGGAAGGAGTTTTAGCTGATTCCCTCCTGGTCTTTCTGTGACACCTGGCAAATTACAACATAGGCATCACACAAACCATATAAATTCTAGGGTGATCTAAGTGGGGTTAGAGGTTAACCCAGGCAAAGTTATAAACTCTAAACAAAATGTTAATTTATCCCAGGCTACAGCCCAGGTCAGCTGACTCAGGACTTGGACCCGTGCTGCTTGCACAGACAGCTGTGAGCAGGAGGTAGGGTGGGCTTATGCTGGCCCATCCTTTTGGAACCTGGATAGGTGCCACCAAGTTCTCAGGGATTGTCGCTCTCGGAGGTGTCTCCATGGAATGGGAATGTGGGACTCTGGCAGACAAGAGAGTTTGAGTTGTGCTGTGGCACAAGCCACAGTAGCTGTGCCCAGTCAAGCAGCAAGACACTATGTTGACAAGGTTCTGAGCCTCATAGGCATGGATGCATCTGCCAGTTAGCAGAGGAGTGGTGGCATCTGTCTTCCTTGACTTCATGACCTTGGGAAAAGTGGCCTTATCCTCGTGAGCTTCAGATCTCATTTGTAAACCAGGCAGCCATCCTTAACCTGCCTACAGGTGGGGTGGACCACCTGGCATTTGAGGTCACTCTAACTTGAGAATGATGCTTTGGTGTGGCCAGGATATAGATTTATGTGTCAGATGGGCATTTGCATGCTCTCACATTTGATTCTTAAATCATCATCTCAATGTTTAAATGCATAGTGTTGCTCACGTTCGCCCCTTCTCTAATTCCAGTGTCCTCTGTATTTCTCTCTCAACCGGCTGGACTAGTTGGTGTGTGCACCTGCCTGGCCCAGGCAAGCCTGTGGGTTCCCACAGGATGGCCATCCACGTGGACAGCCCACGGTGTGACATGCCCCAAGGCTAAGGGTCAGCAGTTGGCACACTGAGTCACGGCAGAGAGTGACAAGCCCACCTTCACTGGGAAGTCCAGGACACATCTTCAAAAAGTCTATTATCAAAAAAACTTTGCAGCAACTGAAAAGAAATTACATTCATAACCCTACCACCCAAACACAGCTATTTTTTTGTGTGTGTGTGGTTTCTTTCAGTCTTTATCTATTTGTATACTATCACTGTACCTATAGAATTTCCTACTCTACTTTTTCCCCAGTTAACATAATCCCGTAAGTAGCTTTTTTCCTTTTAACTGACTTTATCATTTCATTAAATTACATACCTGTCTTTCCCTCTTGCCGGTCGTTTCGTTTTTATTTTCCAGCTTTTAATCATTATAAATTTTACTGCCATAAAACAACTTTCTTCCCATAATTTTCCCCTTTTCTTTCGAATTAGTTTTTTCAGACAAATCCTCAGGACTGGGATGACGAGGCTGACATTTTTAGGGCTCCTGATATCCTCCCTTTCATAGGATGGCTAACCAGCACCACCGGCGACATAGCGGCGTTCCCGTTTGCCTGCAGCGTTGCTAGCCCAGGCTTCTTGTTTTAAAACAGGGTTCATTACTTATTGCCCTGTATAGTTATAAAATGATACTTTGTTGTCATTTTAACTGATGTTTCTATAACTGCTGGGGAAATTGTTTGTTTCTCCCTGTTCCAGAACCCCAAGGAGTTGGGGTCGGGGATGCCCTTGAGATATCCGTGTTTCTCCCAGCAGGGCTCGTGTAACCAACCGATCTGTGCCCTCTTCCTGTGAACTTTCACCGTTCATAACATCAGTTGTCACACTGGTGCTCCTGTGTCTTGCTTGAGCTGCTGTGTTTGTTGAGTTCCGTCTGTTCCCAGTTTCTCTGTCTCCTCCTTTATTTTCAAGCTGTCTTACTGCTCTCAGGGTGCCTGTCTGCACAGAAGGCTGGGCGGTGCTAAGACTGCCTGAACCACGCACGACCAGGGAGTGAGAGGGAGGACCTCCTGGGAGAGAAAGGCTTTCTGTGGGCTTTTGTGTTTGGACTTGGTGACTCCTGCTGGGCTGATCAGGAGGCTTTGGCCTCCTGTTCATCACTGTGCCCTACTAGGTTAGTGGGTTTGCCCAGTAATTAAACCTGGTATTAGTGCCCACATGCTGTTACAATTTGCAGGTGCATGGATGGCTCTACGCTGATACCACTGCCCCTCAGCACCTGTTGTCTGGTGTGGGATTCTTCCTGAGTTCGGCTAAAGCGGCCAGCCCTAGGAGGACATATCCAGCCCTGATCTGAGTCCCTTTCGGCTGATTGCCTCAAGCATAACCTCCTTAGCAGTAGCTGCCACTGGTCAGGACTGTTGAAGTCCAGGCTAGGAAGGGTTTACTTGTCCAAATAAGTTGACTTCTGTATGGTGTAAAGAATATTTTCAAAATCTCAGTAGATTAATTCATGTCACATGTGAAGCTTGCTCTGAAAAATGTACGTCTGCCCTGGGTGGGTTGGGCGGGCCTCGCATCCCAGGCCCCGGTCACCCTGGGGCCTCCTTGACTCTGAGCTGGTGGGAAGCGGCACCTTCGGCAGTTGCATACCAAAGAATGGCCTGGCAGAGGGCTCCAGGGGGAGGCAGTGCTGCCCAGTTCCCCGAGTGGAGTCCGGCTTTCTGGGCCCTGGTAGCGCCGTCCACATTCTTCAAATCACTGTCTACAGGTCATTTGAACACACGCTCCTCAAGGAGTTCTGAAAAGTGTTTCTAGCAGGGAGATCCACCTGCAGGGAGAAGGGAGGCAGAGGTCAGACTCTGGAGGGAGAGCAGAGGAGGCCCAGGTTATTAGGCTTTGCTTTCCATCTGCAAGGTAAACAGGTTTGAGATGTGAGAGGAGAGAAACTCGGGAGGATGTGGGGAATGGCTGCAGCAAAGAGGTCTCGGGGCTGAGCAGCCTGTGGGAGACACTCCTTTGGGAGGGAAATGAACGCACCCTTGAGAAGACTTGCCTGAGCATTGATGTGAGTGTCTCCAGCGTGGGTGTCTGGGACTTGGTGGCAGGTCATCAGCCTTCCACCTTTCTGAGTCTCTGGGGGAGATTCTAAGGGCCACTGTGGCTATTCCCTTCTTCATTCAAAGGAGACATGGTCTCACCAAGTTTCCTGCCCAGATCACACCTTCAAACAGAACGGCTGATTACTGTCCCCCAAAGTCATCGCGTAGCCTTCACGTCAAGGGCTTTGGGTGACCGGACACATCCCCATTACCATGATATGCTTTTATGTGTGTGCAGCATTCCATTTAAGGTAGGAATAGTAAGAGATGCCCAAGACCACAGCCTCACAGGACCCAGCAGGGTCTGGGAGTATTAAAAAGCAAGGGCTGCTGGGTCCTGTGTGTTTCAGAGGGGGACACTATTAATTTGAAAATTTGCAAAGGGCATTTGGACAGGTCTCTTGAAAACACCAAGTTCCCACTTCTGTATGATCTATTCTATGTCATCTTCATATTTTAATTTTTTTCTTTCATTTGTTCTTTTATTCACCTACCTTCTGTTGACTGTCTTCCTTGCACAAGGTGCTGTGAAAGCAAAGACATTCTAGCTGGGGAGACAGACAGACAGAGGATGGTACCCGGTGAGATGCTGGGACGGCGCTGCTGAGTGGCGACCCCAGAGGACTTGCCCCGCACTTGGGCTGGCTGTGCGCTTCCCTCCCTGCCTCAGCAACTCTGGCTGTATAACGGGGTGGGCTGGAGCCGAGAAGACCTGTGTCTAAATCATGGTTCTGCCACTTACTAGCTGTGTGACTTTGGGCCAGGCACTTGTTCTCTTGGGGACCTCAGTTTTCTCATTTGAAAAATCAGGACAGAAATTCCATCTACCCCTCAGGGTGGATGTGAGTCTCGAGTGAAGACTGCTTGAGGAAGCACGTGGCACAGGTGGCAAACTGAATAAACTCTAGATGAACCCTTCTACCGCTGTTACCGCTGTGATGACGCAGTGCATGGTGTTTACCCAAGGATTTGACTGAGGATCTCATAGCACTTGTCCAGTTTTACAAGATTCTTCCCACTCCTCCCTCTAAAGCAGGCCATTAGACTTTTTTTTTTTTCTTCTTATTTCTGTTTTACAAGAAGGAAAGCTGGGCTCTGGAACTCTCATACTCCCCACCCCAAGGTGAAGGTAGAGTCTGTGTTGAGGGAGGATTGGGGCCACTGTCCTGGCTCTTTGACCTGGGCCTGCAGAGCAGACTTAGGGTTACTCCTTCAGCAACTGCCAGGGAGCTCCAGGTCCAGCCCTGCCCTGGGGCAGGGGACAGAGAATGACCTCACCCATGGGACACGTGGGGAAATAGTGCACCAGCCTCGTCCCACACACCCAGGCAGCCGCTGTGGGCCACATCCAGCTCACTCTGAGTAGAGGGGCTCAGATATGCTCGCAATGCACTCAGATACACAGGCAATACACTCGCATGTGCCATCTGGTCTCGCCTTCTCTTCCCCCTTTCACCTTCCCCTTCTCTCTTTTCTGCTCCTTTTCTCTTTCTCTAAATATTTACTCAGCATCTATTATGTGGTAGACACTAGACAGAAAGTCTAACTCATGCCTGATTCATGGCTCCTGCCCTTGAGGAGCTCACATTCCAGCAGGAACATATACTTCTGACATTTGTCCATCTACTTAAGGGAGATATTTTTAGCTTCGTTTGACAGATGAGAAAAGACGGAGGGGGAGAGTGACTTGCTAGTAAATGGCAGAAGCAGTATTCCGCAGGCCTTCTCCTCATTCCAAATCTGGCCAGTGCACAGGGGACTTAATGCCACATACATGCCCCATGCTTGTCCCCATCTCTGGGCCTTTATTGTGCTGTTCCTCTGCCTGTTGCACCTGTCCTCATTCCTCCGTCCAGGCCCCGCCCAAGTCTCACTGTGTTCCCGGCACTTTCTCCCACCACTTGAGCCCATGCTAACCACATGTAACACAAATAATAACACTGTAACAGAAGTCCCCACGGATGGAGGTGGTGGAGCGCTGTCCTGTGCCAGTCTCTGGGCTGAGAACCCTGCTCGGTGCGCTGGCTAATTTGCTCGTCAGAACAAGCCTAGCATGTAGACCTTCTCGTTACCCCCAATGTCTGAGACACATTGCTGAGCAAGTTAGGGCAACTAGTCCCACGCACGCGCTAGTACGTGGACATAACTTTAGAGTGTGGCCAGGGCTTGGACATGGTCTTGACCAGGCACCCCCTTGCTGGGACACCTTGCATGGCCACTTCCCCTCCCATGGGCCTCAGTGTCTTCATCTGTTATGGAAGAACTTCCACATGGTGATACTCATTGTGTAGGAGGTTGGCCAAGGGAGAACATGGAGCCTCTTTCCCTGGTAGTTTGTTATTAACTTCTATTTTGGAGAATTTCAAACAAATACAAAAGTAGAGAGAATAATGTAAAGAACCCTCATGCGGCCGTCCCTCAGCTTTGAGTCATCAACATTTTGCCAATCTTGTTTCATATAAAATTCTTATTCCCCCCATTCCCACTGTTTGCCTCTTTTAACATTTTATTATTAATATTATTAAATTTCAAATATTAAATTTGAAATTTTTGGCTATTTTAAAGACAGACATTGTGTCATTTTACATGTAAATACTTTAGAACGTATCTCTAACTGATGACGGTTTTAAAAAAATGAGGTCATTACGTATTTATTCCACATGACAGAATCATCCAGGCAAGGCTGCCTGTGCTCCAGGAAATAATGGTGTTCTCCGACGGCCCACCGGTGTCTTTTTATCGTTGTTTCACTTGAATTAGCATCCAAATGATGTCCCCTTATTGCATTTGTTTCTTTTGTCTCCTATATCTCTTTTATTCTACAGCAGTCCTCCTCCCTCTTTTTTGATTCCAGTGATTTGTTGGAAAAACTAGGTCATTTTTCCCGTTGATTTTCTCACAGTCTGGATTTGGCTTAGTCCTTCCTCGTGGCTTTAACTTGTTCCTCTGTCTCCAGTATTTCCTGTAAACTAGGAGTTAGAGCTGAACTAGACACCCTTCTTATTGGCATTGTTCAACAGAAATGTAAAACAAACCACACATGCAATTTTAGATTTTCTGAATAAGAAGTAAAAAGAAATAGGTGAATTAATTTTAATAGTATTTTATTTAACACAATATATACAAAATATTATTTTAACATGTAATCAACATAAACGTCATTAATGAGATATTGTATACTCTTCTTTTATACTGCATTTTCAAAACCCAATGGATAAGTATTTTATGCTTACAGCATATCTCAGTTTATTAGCAATGCAACGTTTAGGGTGAAATGCAATCCTACCAAAGCAATACAGTTGTGTTTAGAGGAAAATATTTCATATCACTTCACTTTGTTAATTAAAGTGAATTAAAGTAAAATAAAATTTAAAATTCAGTTCCTCAGTTGCACTAGCCACATTTCAGATGCTCAGCAGCCACATGGGACTAGTGGCTGCTGCGGTGGACAGCATGTGTGGAGGGTATTTCCATCTCTGCAGGAAGTTCTGTGGGACAGCACAGAACAAGAAGCTTAAGCAGATATAGGGTTGACTTTTTTTAAGTGGCAATACTTCGTAGGTGTTGCTGTGTACTTCCTATTGTACTACCTCAAGTTTTGTTATTCTAGTTTCATGACGCTAAGAATGACTAGTGAGTCCAGTTGTGCTTCCAGATATTTTTAAAGAAAGGAGAAAGAAGACTTTTATGTTCTTTACTTAGAACAGACTAGGTGGCAAACAGTGATTCCCAAAACTGGGACCGAAACCACTCTGGCCAAATAAGAATCATCCTAGGACACTCAGTATGACATAGTGGTTGAGAGTCATTCTGCGTGGGTTTGAATCCTGATTCTGCCACTTACTAGCTGTGTGACCTTGGGCAAGCCACTTAACCTCTTGGAATCACTATTTCTTCAGCTGTGAAGTAGTAAAGTAATAGTACTTAACTCATAGGGTACTGTGATGATTAAATTAGATAATGTGCATGCAGGATTCATTATACACCAAGTAAGTATTCAATGAATGTTAACACTATTATGTTGTTGTTATTGTAAAACTATAGGTTCCAAGGCTCTGCTGCTCAAGAATGTATTTTGGTAGGGCCTGTGGTGGTGGGACCTGGAAATATGCATTTTGAATAAGTTCTCTAGGTGATCCTGAATTCCTGGACCGCTTGGCCCAGGTCCCTTCTGGAGACCTTTTCCTGGGGTGACTCTTGGCTCTGTCCCAGCCCCAGGGAAACACATGCTGGCTGGATACCTCACCATCTGTCAGAGGGTTGCCAGGTTTAGCAAATAAAAACCTCCTGTTTTATCTGGCACTCCTAAATCCCTAATTCAGATAAAACTATAAACTAGTATTTACAGATTTACAGGGGAGATTCTGTTTACTCTGTGGGTTTCCATTCCTATCACATCAACTATAAGGTGCAAGAGTGCGGAACGTGAGGACAAAAGTAGTATTTTATAGTTTTTAGAGATGAATATAATTAATGAGTCTTTATGTTTAAATTAGGCCATCTTTTATAACTTCAAAGAAAGGGGCTTTAGGAGCTGTCTTGCTCAATCTGCTTGTTTCACAGGCGAGGAAACTGAGGCTGGCCTGGAGGGGGTCAGTGAGTTGTCCAAGGTCAGTGGCAGGACTAGGTTGGAACCCAGGTCTCCAGTGTCTGGCCCTGCATATGTTACTCTTTGTCATCCTACAGCACTTGTTTCTGCCCTCTGCCACTTCAGTCACATATAGGGGAGAGGTGACATTTATGGTAACCAGGGACCTGGGTCTAGAGCGTGAGCAGAGGGCTTTCTGGTGACATCCTCAGGATGGTTCTCACCCTTGGGATCCAAAGGGAAGAACACAGCAAACGGAAGCAAAGTCAGCCCCTGGTGCTGGCTAGACAGAGCCCCAGAGAGGAGCGGGGGGATCCTGTGGCACAGGGTGCTCAAGGGTCAGGTTCAGGAGCTGCGGCTATTTGCCTGGCCTCAGGACACACAGGGCTGACTGGGCTCTCCTGCCGGTATCTTGCAGAGTCTCCGGAGGAGAGCTATTTGACTTTCTGGCCCAGAAGGAGTCGCTGAGTGAGGAAGAAGCCACCAGCTTCATTAAGCAGATCCTGGATGGGGTGAACTACCTTCACGCCAAGAAAATTGCTCACTTTGATCTCAAGGTCAGTGAGGGGGGTGAGGGAAAAGACTTAATTTAGAAGAATGGGCCCAATCTCTCCTGATATCATTGCCAAGAGGGGTCAGTGCCCATGTGGCCCTCCTCCCTCATCTTACAGTTGAAAATTCTGAGCTCCTGGGAAAGAAGCAATGCCAAGGAAAGCGTCCATCTCCCCAGTTTCATTTGTCATATTAGGATGTCTTCACAAAGGCGGACTGCAAGAAATCTCTTAATCAGACCACATAATCTTCAAGGAACAGGTGGAGTGTAATTTTTAAATAAGTAGACCAGTGACAGGAAACTTGAAACCAAACACATTTAACAAGATTGGACGTTTCAGTAAGCAAGAGCTAACTGCTGAGGAAGCGAACTAGAAGCCTTCAGAGGGGACGATTGAGGTGCGCTGGTGGTCCAGAGTCCCTTAATCAGAGGTTGTAAACATTGGAGCCCAGGACCACTGGCGTCCCGCCCCCACCCTCCCCTCCCCCACCCCATACTGTAGCCAACAAACTGCTTCCAGGACCCACTGATCATTTGTGGTAACCGTTCTTCATTGTCAAGAAAGTTCACTGTGACCACATAGAACTTCATAAAGCAAGAGTTGTGGTCAAAGTAGAATGATCATTTCCCATAGTAGCTGAGCTCCTTTGCACAGACTGATGAGCCTGTACAGACACCCAAAGCATAAAGAGCTCTAACCCATGACCAGAGGGACCTGTTTACTGGGGAGGGGACCCACTCATTTTTCTACTCAGAAACTCCTGTCATGTTTCGAGCACAGTGCTGGGTGCCTGCATGCTGCTGCAGATACAGAATCAACTGAGGTGCAGGACACAGAAAAGAAGGATCAACAATTCTAAGTGCTGTGGTAGAGGAAAGTACAGTGGGGCTGGGGAACCCAAAGGAGGGGGCATCTAAGTAAGACTGAGGTACTTGAAAGGGCTTCCTGGAGAAGGTGGCCTCTGAGTTGGGTTTTGCAGGCTGGGCAGGCATTATCAGAAGGGAAGGGTTTTCTTAGGAAAAGAAGCCAGCAGCACGCATGGCTCCCAAATAGCACAGTGCGTTCAGGGAAGTACGGACAAGGGTGAATATGCTGAATGGCTGGAGAAGTCAAGAGGAGAGCAGGAGGCAGATGAGTGTGGGGCAGCTCAGCCGAGGAGGTGGAACTTTACCTTGAGGGATATAGGGGGCCAGGTGAGCACAGGGGGAGAGGGAGGTAAGCAGGTGTATGTTTCAGAAGGATCCCTCCTACCCGAAAGATGGATACAATGGTGGCAGCCTCAAGGCTGGGGTCCCAGGTAGGAGGTTAGTGCATTAATCTGGTGAGATGTAACAACTCTCAAACTAATTTGAGGAGGGGACAGATTTAAGACCTATTTCAGAGGCTGATCTGAGGATTGATCAGGTGCCTAATTGGATCTGGGAGATGAAGGAGAGGGCAGAGTCCTGGATGACACCTAAGTTCTGGGTTGGGGGGCAGATCCAGGGGCTATGGCATGCCCATGGTCACAAGTGACTGCACTGGAGCGTGGGCTCAGTTCTGGCATATGGATCTCACCCCCTTGCTTATTCTACATCATGAGGGAACCTGCTGTGTATCCCCTCTCCTTAGGCTGATTGTCATTGCCACAGTATATTGAATTCCTCCAACGGTAGCCATCTTACAGAGCTTCACTTAAGTGTCAAGGAGTAAAAGTAGGGGTCACTGGGGAGGGTGTGGCCTGGGCAGACCCTTGCACCTCAGCATGGTAATACGCCAAGCAAGAAACGTCCTACCTGGATTACATCTGTATCTCCTTCCTGGCAATACTATGGGCAATTGACTGGTTTTCATGTCTTTGCTGGCTCCAGCAGACTGGCCTCAAAATGGGCTCCTTTGTCTGTTCTCTGATGCAGAGGTCCCCAGCCTCTGGGCCTCAGACTGGTTCCGGTCAGGGCCTGTTAGGAACTGGGCCGCTCAGCAGGAAGTGAACTTGAATGGAATTCGCTTGAATCATCCTGAAACCATCCCCGCAACCTGGTCCGTGAAAAAATTGTCTTCCGCGAAACAGGTCCCTGGTGCCAGAAAGTTTGGGGACCGCTGCTAACGGGTCTGGTGGAGGTAGGAGGAGCTGTGGAGGCCCGCAGGGCGCATGAGTACCGCGGGTTTGTGCTGTTTAGTTTGCCTCTATGGCAGCTGGGGGTTAGCCAGGTCAGCATTTGAGTCTTCCTCTACCATGTACCAGGATACAACTGAACCTGAGTGTTTCAGCTTCAATGCAAACAGTAATACCTGCCTGGCAGAGTTGTTGTAAGGATTACAGAGAAGCAGCATGAAGTGCTGAATACCAAAGAGGTGCTCTGTAATCATAGCTGGTGTTGTTATTTTCCTCCACAGAATAGAGGGGAAAAAAAATTCAACTCCTGTTACAGTGTTTTGGGCCCCAGTCAACTAGGTAAACAAAGCCTGCCAGTGCAATTCTCAATTGCCCAGCAGAGAGCTGAAATGGACTGCTGGGTGGGGCTGGGCTGCTGGCGGAGGATCTTGACTGGCTCCTGGGCTCAGTCTGGACATTTCCCACAATCTGGAGACAGTCTGGATTTCTCCTGCATGCATGTAGGGGGAGGATTCTGCTAACACCCACCCTGGCCTTCTATCCTTAGAGTTGTGTGTGGACTCTGAGCCTTCTGACTTCCCACCAGTGGGTCCGTGGCCTGGGTCCAGCGAGGCAACTTCAGGAAGTGACAAGTAGCTGGGCCTCAGCGGGGTGACCTCATGACTGGTAGACACTCCCTGGAACCAGAAAGGGGTATGTGTGCCCCCTGGCTGAAACTTGCTGCCAGCTGGAGGGGATCACACAGAAAAGATCCAGCTCAGAGGGGACTTCTTGGTTCCACATTGTCTCCCATTTTATCAAATTCATTTGGTATGAATACAGTTTTATTCCTGGTCGTCCTTCTCAGTGAGGGGTCTCTGTTTTCCTCTTCTCTTTTATTCTGCCTCACCAAGTGAACCAGGCTAACCATGTGGTGTCCACGTTCCTACCCATGACCTGTTCTCTGCTCTCACTTTCCAGCCTGAAGGAGCAGGTGATGGAGAAGGGTCAGCTCTCTGGCCTGTCTTTGGCCAGATGTCTACTCCTATGTTCAGCCATTGTACTGGGGAAGGTGAGGCTCTGTCCCTGCTTGGGGCACGCCCCCAGCTCTGTGGCAGAAAGGAGATGAATGGACAAGTTTATGCTGATAAGCAGTCTTGGTAAACAGACCATGGCATGCTGTTGCCCAGAAATCTGTGATGGACCCTTATCACCATAGGAAAATTGAATGCATTCTCAGCATGACTTTCAGGCCTTTCTTATGCTGCCTTTGCCTTGATTCTGGCCTCATCCACCCTTCCCCACTCCAAACATTAGCCAAGGACCTCACAGATACTGTGCTGGCCTCGCTCCTCCTCTGTTCATGCTGTTTCCATCCAGGATGCTGCTGCTCTTCCTTTTCTCTGCCTGTGGACTTCCACTCATCTTTTGAGACCCAGCAGAAACACCATTTCCTCTGGGAAGCCTTTCCCCTCCCTGCCACCTCCCAAAGCATAACTGAGACTAACCTGCCCCTCTGCTTCTGTTGCCCTTTATGCAGACTTCTGCCGAGAGCATTTATCACTGCCAATCGCTCTCTGCCGCTTGTGTCTAGCGCAGTGACTGACACATGACAAGTAACTGAGTCTCAGTTACTCAGTGTTGAGCAAATAAGCAAAGGAATGAATGAATGCCTTAGTAAGATCAAATGTGTACACGGATGGCAAAAGCCCTTTTATGTCAGCCGCAAAAAGCAAAAGAGGTTGCGAGTGGATTTCAATTCAGTGATGTGAGCATTGATTGATTGACAGACTACTTTATTCCAGAGGGTAGCGTGACAAACATCAGTGTGATATAGAACCTGCTTTCCAAGGGCCCACCATCTACTGGGGGAGGGCCATGGTGGGACCCAATGGGGAGGCCACCTGATATAAAAGCTAACCCAAGAAATGCTCACTTCCAAGGGGTAAGCTCTCTGCCTCAGCATGGCGAATACCACCCTGGAGTGTGGTGTGAATCCATCACAGAAAGTCCTCCTGGTGTGGGAAGCAGCGGAATGCCTGTGTGTGCATAGACAGAAGGGACACTGGGGCTGACTGCCCCCCGTACTGGGTAGCACCCGATGAGCCTTCAGACATGCCTTCCACAGGATGATTAGCAGGAATTGGAGCTCAGTGCCACCCACGAACCTCACCCTGGTACATAATCCCAGCACAAATAAAGGCCTTGTAAAGGGCATTTTTTGTGTGGTTTTCTGTTTATTTTGGAGTTGGGAGTTTTCTCCCTGAGTACGGGTGTGTCCCCACCCTCCCCCACAGCCTTGACCCTTTTGGACTTGAGAATTCAGAAATGGAAGGTAGTCCTCAGGTCTGACTAGTATTTTAAGCGAAAAGAATAAGGTATGAGAGTTGAATGAAATTGAATGCAAGGCTGTAACCGAAAACTCTGAAGGGGAGCTTTTTGATTTATATAAACAGTGTTAAGAGGAGATACTCCAAAAATCCAGATTCTTCTATGCCCTGATCATCCTTTGAGCTGTTCTTATGTTCATGATGTGATGGGGACTGCTCATTAAGCTTTCATAAGAATGATACTAATACATTCTTTAAATATATGTAGTACGTTCTAGAATATAGCGTGCTTACATCTGTTCTCTCATTGGAGTCTCACAGCCACTCATTGAGGTACAAGGTATGGCCACTTTTTTAAACACAAGGCAGTTGAGATTCAAGGCAGGTTAAGTAACTCATTCAAGATCACACAGGTATCAAATGTCAGGGCTTGGACTTGAGCTTAGTCAGTGAGGAACCACACCGCTAATTCAAAGGTCTGTGCTATTGTATATATTTATTCTTTACACATTTAATTTCTCAGTTGTGTTGTTTTTTCTTTCTAATAAGCTATTCCTCATTAAATATTTTTCCTCATTAATATTCCATTAAATTATAAT